ATGGGTTCCAGTTGTTTCTATCTATTGGTGAATCTTGCCAGTGCTTTGCAGTTTATCATGCTCAACAAGTTCTGCGAAAAAAAAAGTTTCACATGAATGATGATGTTTCCTTCTTACCTTCTTTTTGCATCATATTGCTGTATTAAGGATTTAAATGATTTCATATCCCTTTGTGACAATATTGAAGCCCCAATATTGAAATCGATTTCATTGTCATAGAATATCATTTTCCATATGCTACATTTCTTAAAATCAAAACTCAATTCTACCATATAAAATTCTCCCTTAAAACCCTTCTCGGTGAATGGAAATAATTTATAGCTTTACTTAATTTCGCATCCTCAGAAATTTTGCCTGGCAGTGCTTTCTTGCTAGTTTCTATTACCTGCCCTGTTAAGTCTGCAACCAGAAACTTGTAAAGATGGAGCTGACATCCAGCGTTTTCAATTGAAATCACCCTTCACCCTTTGAAGCAAAAACATAGAGGTTATTCAATGTTTTGTTGTTGGATATGGAATTTATTTCACGAGTGGGACATGATGTTTTGATATTTTCACGAGTGCAAAGCACAACTTTGGCAGTTTTAGTCTCTGTCACGATGGTTTACTCTCTCTATTCACGTAAAGGGAAGGAAAATCTCGAGTTTTGCAGCACCTCTGATATTCTGTCACACTGTGACAGAATATCATTTTGATATTCATTCTTTATACTGTGACAGAATGTCACTTTTATTCAATAAATAAATTGAAAACATAATGAAAACCATTAAGCTAGTCGGCTCATAAGTGCTTAATTTTTATACCATTTTAAAACAAAGCATGTTAAAAATTATTTAAATATTTAGTTGTCAAACTATCTTGGATAGAATTTCAGGTTCCTTAATCTTTGCATTTTGGCTAAACAAACATCCAGTGTATATCCCAATCTCCATACTCCGCATCTTAATGCCAAAGTTTGCTGCAGCTTTAATTCTCTCTTTCTAGGCTACTTATAAGAATAGCTAGCTCCTTTCTCAACATTTTTGCAATCAGGAGAATTTTAAGTTTTTGGATATTTATTATGTAAAACAACCCTTTACAATTTCATTGTCAAAATGATTGCACAACACTACAATCCCTCTTCAATAACTTCTATGATTTCAGCAATTAGTTCATAAAATATGTTCTAATTATTTGCCTAACCTTTTTAGTGAGAAAAACCCCGTCGCCCGCGTGGCGCAGTGGTAAGAGCGTCTGCTCTAGAGTCGCAGAGTAAGGAGTTGATCCTGACGTCGCGGGTTCGAATCCCACTGTGGAGACCGGTCCTTCGGATGAGACCGTATAAACCGAGGTCCCGTGTCGCAGTAGGTGCTGGCACGAAAAATATCCCTCACTGTTCAAACGCCTTGAGTGCCGAGCATAGGTCAAAATTTGCAACTCTCCATCGGCAAGTGGTGGCGACTCCATATGAGTTAAAAATTCTCGAGAGGGATGTTAAAAAATAAACAAACAGAAAAATCCTTTATGGATCCAAGTCTAACGAAGTGTCAATTACAACTTCAATCTTAGTTACACCAGAGCAAGATATTTTCAATTGTAAGTCTCCCATTTTTTTAAACAGAATTCTTTTACAGTGCATTTTCATGGGTAAATTGATTCACTCGTAAATTGAGTGAATTGATTGCCAAAAGACGGTATGTTAATTTCCTTAGGAATGCAGATAAAATCATAGACATTTATCAATCCTATCATTACCATCTCTTTATCCCAATTATCTCCACATTAGATATATCCAGTATTTTTGTCAACTCGAAAGCAAACAATGGAGCCTTTGTTTCAGTTCTATTTGGTTCCTCAGCATCTATTAACCCTCAGAAGACTGTCTTTTGCATGGGGCTGGATGTGCAATCGTACAAAGGCAACATTTTTTAATCGGACAGCCATTGAAGCAGCAAATCGATTTCCAAAAATCAAACAGGTGAATCTCGGATGTTTGACAAAATACATCCACATCAATTCTCTTTAAAATTAATTTTTCCTTTTCCTGTTATGATAGTCAAGGGTTACTGACTGGCGACCCACAAATTTCATTTAAGATGTTCAGTAGTTGACTCCATCAATTATCATGTCTCCAAGAATATATCCATATGACTTATTTAATTTTCAACAGGTTCAGAATTTGTCTGTCTGTTAGATGTTTCCACATGTTTCCTCTTTAAATTGCATCAACAGGTGTAGCAATTATCCGTTGTTGTTTGTTTTTTAATTTGTGTTTCCTTTCATATAATTTAGCAATAACAGGTTCAGGATTTGTCTGCCTGTTGTGTTGTTTTCCATTCATGTTACTTGTCATACTGTTTATTATCAAAAGATTCAGAATCTGTTTGTATTATCCTTTGCGTCGTCGTTTTGGTTCATTCCAACACACCTTTTAAACATCATTCCAACACACCTTTTCTCCTCTACAAAACCAAAGTGCTTTTCCGGACATTGTACACAGTAGTGTGTTTTATATATTCCCCAACAAATTTTTGGATCAAAAATGTTAACGTTCATTGCATTTTTTTTACATCAAAAAGAATGTTCTTAAATATGTTTTTTTAATCTCATCGTGTTTATCATTCTATATCCCAACGTTTTTTTTTCATGAGCTCCATTCTTCTGAGCATTTTACCAAGTTGGTGATTCAGCCTTAGGGATTCGTGGCACTTTTGATTTCAATACTTTATGGTATCGGAAGCTGTTGGATAATAAATCAAAATACGAGTATGTCATGTTTAAAGCTAATTTATTGTTTATAAAATACACTGCAAACCCTTTTTTGTATTTAAAATTTATTCGTTAATGGTACATTTTATTCGATATGCAATAATTGCAACAGTTGTTTCAACAACAGCATCCATAATCGATGCAAATCTTGGGTTATATCTTAAGGTATGTCACCCGTCAGCCTTTTAGAAAATTTCAGTCAGAACCTCTTACTTAAAAACTATTTATTACAATTCAATTTTTATAACATATTTAAATTAAACAATGTAAAATGTTCAACATTCAATTAAAAAACTGCTCAAAAATTCATAAAGAAGCAAGATTTATAAGGGACTTTTTCTTGTGGTGGACGGATATTTAGCAGAAAATTCTGCAAATCTACACATTTATTAAACTTAACATCTTACTACTTTAGCCTCACATACTTTTACTCAGAGAATATTGTTCGTTATGATATGCCTGAAATATAAAACATAGGTCTCAATTTATATTTTTGTAACAAAATTTACACCTTCGCTCAACAAACTTTGCCAAGAAATGAAAATATATTAAGGAAGTGGAGATAAAATTTACACAGTTTTTTGCCAGAAAATCGCATATTTTGACCAATATTTCAAAATTTACATCACTGACCCCAACTTTTTCTTTCATTATTTTAAACTACTCGATACTTTTGACCGATCAGCACTTAAGTCGTAAAAAGTTTGATACAAGAAAATATTCTATTGCCTATTTAGATTTTTAATACCCCAATATGAGACTTTTTTAGTGCAAAAAGGTCACACAATAATTCACGCGCATTAATTTGCATGATTTTTTCAATGATAATTATCATTCAAACTATTTACGTAAAATAAGATTATGTTTATTGCCATGGTTACATCTGATAAAATATGATAACAGTTAAAGTGATTTACCAAAGAGTTACAATTTAAGTGCAAAAAGGTCAACTTAATTGTACCGTAGCTCAGTTAGATGCACACTGACCCCCCATTTTCTCTGCGATTTTGAGTCACACTATATGAGTACTTTTCCAAAATATACTTCTCAAAAAATCCTTGATATAACAAATTTCACGAGTGACATACCTTAATAACGAAGTCTAACCGTGAGTAAACTCAAAACTATTGTGTCTCTATATCTAGGGCTTATAACTATAGGCCCTATCTGGACCAAACTTGAATGGATAATTCATGGATGTTAAAATGAAAATAGAAGACCTGCTTTGAATTCCAAATATAAACTACTTTTTCTGAATGATTTATGAAAGTTTATTCCCAAGTTACTATAAGCCCTTTGCTGACCAAAGTTGCATTGATGATGTATCTAGGGATGGACACTACCAGGCTTGCTTCAGAGACTGAATCTTACATTTTCCAGATAATTGGATAATTGAAAATGTTTTTGAAGCAATTCCAAGTACCTAAAAATCCTATCCAGACCAAACTTGAGTTAATGTTGCATCTGGGACATCATATTTAGTGTGAGAATTTGCCTTCCTTAAAGATAACATTCGTTAAGGTGAGTTTTGTAATCTTTGATTACCTATGTTTTAATTTCTTGCAAACGTTACATTTGTACTAAGAGTTTGATTCATTATTAATATTCGCTTCTCTCTCTCTTTTTTTTTTAAAGTTTCAAAGTCTCTTAAGGAACCTTCATACACTGCACAGGAAGAATTCCAAATTCAGTAAACTTTTTTGTGCTTTTAGATCACTTTACAAATGAAAAACATGGTGTATTACACACTTTGAATCAATTCAAGTATTGACGCTATGGTTAGCATGATATTGAACCAAGAAAAAGTAATTGAACATGTTTTCCCCAATTTAAATAAGCAACAGTGTTTTTTTTAATCAATACTTTGTTCTGTTAAACATTTTTCCTCGGGGGAAAATGATAAGTACCCTATCTTGAAAATGAAATAGAACAACTTAATGTTTTAACCTTTATGTGATATATTTTCTTAAGATCTTTTTGTCGATGGATATATTTCTTTTATACTTGCAGACTTCAATGATTGATTTCTATGTCCATAAGCACTCATCAAAAGGTGATTTCTTTTTTATTTCGAAGCATGAGTCAAACGTTTTGTTTGGGAAGATGTTGAATTGTATCAAAGTTAAAATTTTATGACCAATAGGATAGAACTGACAAGAAAGATGTGAACAGGAAATCGTAAAATAGTATAAAAAATCATTTGCATTCTCTGCTTAATTCACACTGAATGAGTAATTATCTCCCTTTTCATTCATTAACAACCTTAAAACAGGTGGACTTTCGATGCATGACATACGTTGACAATTTGATGTCTTTTGTCTGTCAAGATAGGAAATTCTGTTATATAATTAGTCAATCCCACCGGGACAATGATGGTAATACACAATTTTAAGGTAAGGTTAAGTTTTTGTTCCTAATATACTTATATTTTTCGGATACTTCTTTTATTTCGGAAACAGTTGAGAAAGAAATAAATGAACTTGACGATACGTGTAAGGTGAAGTAAGATAAAAATGTATTTGTTTGTTTCTTATTCGCCATTAAAAAAGGTGAGAATCCATGGTTGTCGAAAACAGCCTAAGGTAAGCGTGACATATTGGAAACAAGTCATAAATGACAAAACAGAATGTATCAGTCATTTGTTCTTCAATATGATGTCTTAAAATACAGATTCACTTAGAATACATACATGTCAATAATATCACACATATAATGAACAAGTGATTTATACTTTTTAGTATGTATTCTCAATAAACTTCAAACATGCTTTAAGAGGTCATATTTTCTTTAAAGTATTTTTTTTTGTAATCTATAACATTACAAAGTGTTTGAATATGTATATGTATTAATAAGATCTATTTTACACTCTCTAACTCACCTCTGTTGTGGTTCAATATTCAGCTTTATGATTTTGTAAGACGAGTAACGCGTCCTGAAGTTATTATTATAATACCTTGCCTTCACTTTCTGCGTAATGAATGCTGAAAACCACTATTTTATAACCAGCATTATCACTTGCATAGTTTGTGTAATATATCATCAATATACAATGAAGTATTTGAGATTTTTTTGAAATTCCAGTGACTTTGTTTATTTGTCTTTTAACAATTTCTTTCCGCATTCTTTTAGCGTCATTTATTGTTTTTAAAAGTGGTCGTGGAATATCTTTGTTATATACATAAATGTGACGTTCAAAGTGCCTGATTATAGAAATAAAAGGTTAACCGAGATATTTTTCTTGGAAATATGTTTTTGTCTCTCTTCATTAATATTCAAAAAACTACTGTTTTGTCTTATTCAATTTTCATTGGCAGTTCCATTCAATTTTAATGCCTAAGATTTGAGAAGAGATAAATATTGTGTGTTCAATTCTTGTTCCTTTTTTTCTTCCATTTTTCATATAATGGTGCCTGAGTCTGGTAGTATTTATATATATATATATATATATACATTTTTTTGCGTTTTAGCGGTTGCTCCTTGCTATATTTTTCCTGTGTCAACTTGCACACTGTCTAAGTGAGGTAAGATCCACGCTTCTAAATATTAGTTATTGGAATGTTGTATTTGCAATAAAACTCATGATACATAAATTCATGTTTACGCAATTGACACATTTAATGAATGTTTTCGATAACATCTATTTATCCAAGAACTGTTAATTTGTTTATTCTATCAAGAAGTCTTGAGGTGGTACATATGGTCAAGCAAAAATTTAAGTTCTTTTGTTCACTTTCCCTGATTAACTTGAAAGCAGGAAAACAGATAACTGTTTTCACATGTATTATTGTCGTTTAGGGATTATTTGTCATTCATTATAAAAATAGTATCATTAACATGTGTTCATCCGCATGATTTGATTACTTATTTCCAATTAGGTATTCAAATGACATATATTTAGGTTTTTATTTGTATTACGACAATTAAAAAACCTATTCTCTAACTTTATTCGAATGATAAGTTCCCGTGATATGTTTCTTTTTCATGTTTCAGACAAATGTGACGATGACAGATGGTATGCATGTTATATGAGATCTGTGTGGTGTCTCTGTTTTTCTACGTAGCAAAAACATTGTAATTTAAAGTGATAATCCCATTTCAAATTAATTCATGCTTCTATGAAATAATTCAAATATCCATAACTTAAAGCTCCTTTATGATACAGCAAATACGTACAATTGCCTTTTTTAACGATATGCATTGTTGATTTGAATGATAGATATTTGAAAGATTAATTTTTATGCCCCCGTAATCGAAGATTCGGAGGCATATAGTTTTTGCCCTGTCCGTCCGTCTGTTTGTCTGTCTGTCTGTCCGCAAAAACTTTAACCTTGCCTATAACTTTTGAATGGTTGGAGCTATGGCTTTTATATTTCACATGTGTATCCCTTGTTACAAGACCTTTCTTTGGGTAACATTACATTTGACCTCTTGACCTTGGAGTTTGACCCACTTTTGCAAAAATTTATGAGACTTTAACCTTGGCCATAACTTTTGAACAAATGATGCTAGAGCTTTCAAACTTCACAAGTGTATTTCTTGTGACAAGACCTTCCTTTAGATACCAACAACTTTGACCCTATCTTTTGACCTTGGAGTTTGACCTACTTTAATTTTGAAAAAAAATAACCTTGGCCATAACATTTGAATAATTAGGGCTAGGATTTTCATACTTCACATGTGTATTCCTTGTGACAAGACCTTTTTGTGGATACCAACATGTTTGACCTTGACCTTTGAGTTTGACTTACTTGGCCATAACTTTTCAACAGTTGGTGCTAGGGCATTCATACTTTACTTGTGTTTTTCTTGTGACAAGACCTTCCTTTAGATAACTACAACATTGACCCTTTGACATCGACCTTGGAGTTTGAGCTACTTTTGAAAAAATTTAATCTTGGCCATAACTTTTGAACAGTTGGTGTAAGGGCTTTCAAAACTTCAAATGTATATTCCTTGTGACAAGACCTTCCTTTGGATACCAACAATTTTGACCAATTGACCTTGACCTTGGAGTTTAACCTACTTTTGAAAAAACTTTAACCTTGGCCATAACCTTTGAACGTTTCGTTCTAGGGCTTTCATATTTCACGAACATGTGTATCACTTGTGACATGACCTTCCCAATTGACTTTGACGTTTTACTTACTTTTGAAAAACTTTAACCTTCGCCATAACTTTTGAACGGTTGATGCTAGGGCTTTTATTTTTCACAGGAATATTCCTCGAGACAAGACCTTTGTTTGGGTACTAACGTTTTTGATCTCTAAATCTAGAGTTTGACTTGCAATTGTGAACCTTTACCTTCGCCATGAGCTGCCATACGGGGGCATCAGTGTTTCAGTTTCACAAATACATCGTGTTTTTTTTTTTTTTTTTTTTTTAAATTTGTATTGTTTAATGGACTTTTGAGCTTGAATACTGTTCTTTATCTCCATACATTTCATTGCAAATATACTCAAAAGACGAATGGAATACGGTTTCTAAAATGTCTTTGGAAAAAAATACGAATATTTTTATTTAAAACTTAATTATGTTATGTAAGTCATATGACATTTTTGTTTAAAGTTAGTTGAAATCATACTGCGTATCATGTATTTTTCTAAAGTCAACATTAAATGAGCCTATGTGTATATGGGTTTCTTTCAATTACAATTGCAGAAGACATTTGCTTTTTGAAACTGTGCAGAGCTGGGAGGCAGTGTGTTGTAATAAACAAGGTAGCCACGTGTCAGTGTGTAAGTTATTGCCCTGACCACATGCACCTGGTGTGTGGAAATGATGGACGTACCTATCATAACCCGTGCTCTCTTCACCGCACTGCCTGTATAGAACAGAGACACATTAAAGTCACAGAGAAAGGCCCATGTGTAGGTCAGTGTTTGTGTCCTCTCTCTCTCTCTCTCTCTCGTGTGCAGCCTGTGTTACTCTACTGGAATAATTTTTATTTGTCTTATGTGTAGCTCATATTAAGTATTTAACCTTTTTAAAGGGGTTTATTATGTATTCAGGTAGTATCTAATTTATTTTAATAATTTGTTTATTTTTAAACAAAAACATTAAATCATATATAGAGCATACTCACCTTTTCTTTTACATAATTTATATTTAAAATTCATGATTTTTCTTATCCATGGAAAGGATTTATCATCTCTCTCTCTCTCGTCTTTTTTAAGTTACACATAGAGTGGGTTGTTTGTTTTCACGCTTTCCCCATAAATTAAATACATTATAAATATTGTATGCAAACAAAGATTTGTTATTTTATTATTCATTAAAACAGTTAATTTGACAAGCATAACATTATAGAGGCATTGTTTACAAAGAAATATTAAATAATCACTGGATAGGATCATGAAGTTAGAAAAAAAGAACTAAAATATCGTGGCCCTTTCTTGGCATTGCATATTTTCCATGCTAATTAAGACAAATATACCTCATTATAAATTGAAATAAGCCCGCGTACTCCGTGCATCTCTCTTATGAATGAGGTAAAAACAAAGATTAATGGATCTTTAGTATGAGTATTTTTCGTTAGACCACAATAAGAAATTATGAATTACCTTTACAGTGAGCAACAAGGAAATGGAAATTAAAAAGCTTAAGAACAGCACTTGGAAACCTTTGAAGTGTAAAGATGATGCCAGAGTCTACATGAGAAAAATTTTCCTTATGGAGCTAATGCTAAGAAATGGGAGAGGTAAAGCATAAGAAACAGAGGGGTTTGGGGTTGAAATCTACAGAATGTAAACATATATATTCCTTAATCTTCAGCTAAGGCGGGGTCATCCTACACAATTCAACAAGTACATCTATGATAAAAAGAAAAAAATATATTGACTGGGTTCTTGGACAGAAGCGTTTTGCCAAACCCGCAAACTGTTGCCTTCTACCCAAACAGTTTGACAAAACGCAGTTTGACCTCGAACCACGCGGTCAATTAATGTTTAATGTTTAAGATTCTGTGCCTTATCCAATGTATGTCAAATTTCTGTTCAATAAAATTTCAGAGCAGTATAACCCATTTGAGGAATCAATTGAAATTGCACGATAAGAAAAAATTGCTTTGAGATTGTTAATGTTTTTTCAGAATACACATCTCATCTTACACATCAATTTATTAACACATTGATTAACAATGGATTGTAATTTTCTAAATTTTCATTTTAGATGACATTGTTTCGAAAAGAGCAAAAACCTACTTCAAATCTGTGGACAGCGACATGAATATTTACATAACGTCAGATGAAATATACCATTACATCAGACAAAAACGAAACGACAAATCAACAGACATCTCTAAAAGTTTCCGACAAAAGTATTATATATATATATATATATATATATATATATATATATATATATATATATATATATATATATATATATATATATATATATATATATATATATTAAATTCTAAATAATAATTTTCCAACATTCATATCTGAAAATAAAAACCCCTTTAAGTTCAAGTGAACAATGTCTATTATTTTTTATATCTAAATATCAAAAGAATGAAAAAGGAAAAATTTGGATGAATTCTATTATACTAAGGCACATGTATATTGAATGGGAATATTTTCTGAAGGATAGCGTGTATAGACGCCATGATTGATATGGTGGATAGTAACAAAGACTACAAACTAGACCAGACAGAGTTCACAGAACTGCTAAAGCCAGAACTGATTCCATTTTCAAAAGGTAAAACCCGATTTGATCGAGCACTTCCCTGCTAAACAATAGAAACCATGCAAGAGAGTTAACAATCGTAACTGATTAAAGAAAGTTTTTTTTTAATACGTGTTTGTGATTATTGGATTTTTTTCTAAGTAATGATCATTTTTGATACATTGATCATTCAAAAGATAAAAATAGTCTTATTAAAGAAAGTTTTTTTTTCATGTGATTTTGATTAGTGGGTTTTTCCTAAGTAACCATTGTATTAAACATTGATCATTCAAAAGATAAATAAAATAATCTAACAAAGCACGAACATGTAAATAACTGTAAATAAGACGGTGAAAACATATCACATTATCGGAAGACTTTCACTTCTTAGCCATAATCACTTACTTTAAATAGTTTTCAAGGAGTGTTTTTTAAAACGTAAATGTCCTTCAGTTCATTTCAGCTATTTTCAGCGACATTCCAAATCACTCCTTGGAAGCCAAGGGTTTGTTCTCCGCTATACCCTCTCAAAAAAAAACTCTTGCCATATATCACAACTAAATCCGTAGCCATTTTTTGTGAATGTTTTGTTTAAAAATAAAATATTATTTACACACTAAATTGTCGACAGATTTTTCCGTTATTTCCCAATCATGACAAGGAGCACACGGCGGGTGTGACAGTTCGACAGAGGATGCTCACTCCTCCATGGCACCTTATCCCACCTCTGATGTTTTGGAGGTCCGTGTTTGCTCTGCTCCCGTTTATTATTGTTTTAATGGGCTTTGAGCTTGAATACTGTTCATTATCTCAATATTTCATAATTCAAATTGTTGCAATTATTGTTTCTTTTTACATGATCATTTTAAATATACTTGTCCCCAGGCTGTCTCTTGTCTGGAATTCATTACTCGGATGGCGAATCCACGCGGAGAGAGTGTAATACATGGTAAGTTCTTTGACTTTATTTCTTATCAAATAAGAGATCGTCACTGGCATTCTAATTAGACCTCATCTTTTCATATGATAAAGTGAACAATAGAGTCAAATGAAATTTCAAATTCTGTGCATTCTTTTTAATTAGGATGTTTGAGTTTTGGCAAGGTAAAACGTATGAATTGAACATATTTTTTTTTTGACAAAAGTCAAATAGATCAGCCATTTTCTTTAAGTTTTGTTTTGGTTTCAATTAACTTAGAGTCTAGTTCATCTTCGCCTTGATAGATAATGTTCTGTATATGTTTGAAATTTCGATGAACTTTGAAAAATATTGCAATCTTTACATAAGGAACAATATTAATTACGTAGATCTTTTTACTCCTCCCAAAGGTCAGGTCTTATTTCGTTAAAACTCAAGTCATTTAACCATGGCTCTTAATTCTATTTTATTGGTGTTGCCATAGATACTTAATCAAAAAATTGTGAAAATCCTCAAAAAGTTACTCCTCCAATGTTTTGAATTGATTTCAATAGAATTCGGTAGAAGTTAAAAACAAATCAAAATAATTCTGCTACCTTTCCCTTCTTTTATAGAAATAAAAAAGAGCTACAGTCTCATTAGATACCTCTGATTTATTTGTTGTTATATAAAATCAAAAACATGCATATATTATTTGATAATATGAGATACAAATAATCAGAGTTGTTTGGTTTTGTCAATTACTATGGAATCATTATATTTCGAAGTTGTTAAATATTCGCAGATTTCATGTGAAGTGCTTACCCAAAAATTTAAAACGTCAACGAATAATTAAGTCTATTTTAGAAATTACGTCCCCCGGACCTGTATTTCTTTTAGCAATCAATGAATATTTTTTTTCTACGAATAAAATTAATTCTTCGGTTTTGGACAATTGAAAAAATGCAATTAAGCATTATGACCTTGGAAAAATTCTTAAAAATTTGGAATGCGTTCAAATTTAGGATTTACACAAAAAATTGTTAAATGATGCCAAGAGTAATATACAATTTATCAACATTTAACGTACAATATCATAAATAATAGAGAGAAAGTGTTGCACAAAAGACTAAACACTATTAACACTAGCTTACATGTATGCACCTTTTCAAAAGGAGATAATTAAAAATGAATAAAAGATAAGATTGGATCATACAAACATTCTTAAAGACCAAGGAGCGAAAATGAGAAAACTTTATGTAAGCATCCTTATATAACCTTAATCTGCTCATTATTGTCACCGGCGCAAGGACGCGCCAAAAAGAAAGAGTACAGTGTCTTTAGCATAAAAATATAAAAGGAATATCTGCAAGGATCATTACAAGCCTACATAAGTCCATTTTAGTTGCAAGCATCCTAAAAGTATTAGGACCATAGATATCATTCAAACCATGACCCTGTGATAAAGATGGGACCACAAAGGGTATCCATAGTTTAACATGGAAATTATAGGAAACCTCTTTTTAAAAGAATCATCTAGAGAGCCTCATGTTGAAAAACCTTAACACAAGCAATTCCCTATATGTAGATTCATATTTATTCAAATCATGGTTTCCTGGGCAAAGATAGGCCACACAAAGAGAACCCAAACATTTACATAGAAAATTTATAGTGAAAGAAATTTTAGAAAATTTTCCGGTAACTACAGTCAAGGCTACACAGTCGCCCGCTCGGCGCAGTGGTTAGAGCGTTTGTTCTAGAGTTGCGGAGTAAGGAGTTGATCCTTACGTCGCGGGTTCGAATCCCACTGTGGGACGTGGAGACCGGTCCTTCGGATAAGACCGTATAAACCGAGGTGCCGTGTCGCAGTAAGTGCTGGCATGATAAAGATCCCTCACTGCTTAATGGCCCAGAGTGCCAAGTTTAGGTCAAAATTTGCAGCTCTCCACCGGTAAGTGGTGGCGTCTCCATATGAGTGAAAAATTCTCAAGAGGGATGTTAAACAACAAACAAAACAAACAAATAAGGCTACACCTTTTCAAATTTATATCAAAGAATCTTTTATTAATATGCAGAGAAAAAAATGTAGACTAAATCTTTTTAAGGCCAGTCGACACTTTCCTCAATAATATATAACTTTTCCTTAGAATTTGTCATTGAAGTATTGCTACTTTTACAAGTTTCGTCACAAAAAGTCGAGCTACCTTACTAGGTATTTGTGCAAGATATGAGAGGGTAGTGTTTCCTATAAAATCTTATTTGAAATCAATTGAATTGTCAATATCACAGTTTTTGTTTTATTTATTTTTAAGACATTTTGAAAACAGTTTAGAAATAACAAGATAATGTTAATTAAATATTTCGAAGAAAAAAACCAGATATTTTATTATATTTATATATTAAATGATCTGAAAAATTCAAAGCTACCAATAGTCAAAAATAGATAACAGATAATTGATAAAAAAAAAAAAAAAGAATAATAATATCGTCTTGTAGTCTAGATTTAAGTTTATTAAAATCATGACCTCTGTGCAGGGTTGAGGTCATAAATTAAGTTACTCAGAATTAAGCTTTTGGTTGCAGTACTTTGTGACATATTATTAGAGGGTTTTTTTTTTAATTTATTTCCAAAGAGACTTTGATGATTTTTTTCATTCATATGAAATGTTCTCACATAGTGTAGATTTAAATTTGTCCAAATCGTTGCCTTTGGCTTGAGTGAAGATGCATGTGGACTCTCTGATTTTACAATGGGGTATGTAACAAAAAAGAACATATAATAATACTCAGAGGTGTATACGCCTCTTCGTTGAAAAGTGGGGTTTTTTTTAAATTTTACAAGTAAAATAATGTGTTATCTTCTTTTTAAACAGTGTTTGTAGAGATGGGAAAATGGCCTGTTCGGCACATGACTGCTCAAAGACTGTTGAAGGTTTATTTTCTATTTTGCAATAACTCAAAGTATATGTATCCCAAAGTCATTTCATTTCTTATTTAAATATAATATAATAAAATATAACATTCATATAATAAATCTGAGAGTTTTTATAAAGAAATCTTTTTTGTCCCAGTATGGGAGTGTGTACTGTTCCCCAAATGAAAGTATTATGCATGTTACTGCATATGTAAACATGTTTTAAGGAATATCAACCTGCCCTCTGTATAATGTTCAGCATTTATGTAATCATTAATATTCAAAGACCATAAAGACTTATTAAGAATCACAACAGCTTTCTAAACATGTTGCTTCAAATATATCTTTACAGGTAAAGAAACATCTACACCTTCAAAATACCAAAAGAACATCCTAAAAATGATAAAAGAATTGTTGGCGAAGACAACGAAATGAAAAGTCTTATAAAGTACTTTTGTGTGGGGATTTCGTTTTTTTATGTACATTTAAAGAAATCATTTTAATGTAGTGATATCATTTAAATTTAATTACTGATTATCTATTATGTCTAAAATATAATCCTCTTGCAGACATACCTTTTCATCTTCAAGATCTGTTCAATGAAAAGTTAACTGATGCTAAAATGATAATATACATGTACAGTGTACATGTATGTTTGCTTACTTTTTTGTTTAGATATTCCATATATGAATATGTTCAGCATATAAATTATCAATTTGTACGGTGCATGTATTCACTTACAAATGTACTTAACACTAAAATCTGAATCGAAATATTTTTGTTGTTAATGATATGGCCTTGACATGACATAGGTTGACAGACTCAAGCAACGAAACATTTTTTTAAATGTCAATTCATTCTCATCTGTTCCGAAGCATTTGAATAAAATCCAGAATCTTTTATCTTTGATTAATAAAGAATCCATTTTCAATCAAATTGCAATTTGCAAATTTGCCATAAAGATTATGACATTATTTGTAAATATTAGTTTTAATTGCACTTACTTAAGGAATAATTGTCTCGTTTTTTTATGATTTAGTCCATCAGTTTGCTTAAAAAATTATCACGAGAGCAAACTAATTGATCATCATCTACCATAAAACAAGACAGTTTTTCCTTATATTTACATTTCCACCTGATCCTTGATTCAATAAAATTAATAATTTAGTCAATAATGAGAAATCTCTTCAAGTCCCGCCCCCCAGTGTATTACTAAATAACATAGAGCAAGAAAGCATAGGGTTCTGTCAGATGCTGAACAAATCGTTTTAGTAGAATATAAAGCTACGTATTACCTTATTTTTAGTTTTATCTTGGATAAAGAATTTGTTTTTAAAAATGTAAATATTTAGTGGTTGCCTATGCTTTTTATATCAAATTACATGACTATTGTATTAAAAAGAAGTGTTGAGATTATTGGAACGTAATACAATGAAGTTTTCCCTATCGAGAATTTTTCACTCATATGGAGACGCCACCCCTTGCAGGGCTGCAAATTTATTTCTATATTTGGCACTAAGGGCATTTAGCAGTAAGGGATCTTTTTGCGTGTTAACACTTACTGCGACACGGGACCTCGGTTTATATATAGTGATCTAAGAAATTTAGTTAATACTAAAAAATCAATTTGCAGTCACCGATCACAGGATGATAACGTGAAATAAAACAGATTGATCAGTACAAAGGATGTAACTCCAATTAAAAGCACAAAAAACTGATCTCTCGAAGCAGATTATGTGTTTATGATTCCGAAAATTTTATTATCACTTCCTTCATTTTCGTAATTGAGTCTGTCAAAATATGAATGAAATACTGCCCACTGCGTTACGCATAAACAATCTACCGTTTTTCAAGTAATTATTTTATGACTGCGTGATTTTGTGTTCGTATTTAGGCACCTTTTTTATTTGATTAATTTAATTGATATAAGTTATATCGACTTGAAGCCATATATGGCGTATTGTTTGATAAGTTCAGATAACCAAAATTAAAAAGATCTTTCTATTTGTACGGTAAGGACTTTCCTGTAAATTACACAATTAAATCAATTGTGTTTCAAATTTAAAACAATATCCGATTTATTTACCAACTCCACATTTAAATAACAGACAAAGTCAATTTAACTATAGAAACGTGAGGTTATTTAAATTCAAAATCGATGGAAATTTTAATTTGAACGTAAATAACCTCTATCATGTATAACAACATTCAATTACCTATTATTATTTTTTAGCTCAGATGCGCCATCTAAAATAAAATATGGATTTGAAAATATTGACCAAAGCAAGAGATTTAATCAGATCGATATAAAAATCCGTTATGTAGCAATAAATTATAGTTATATCGATGAAAACATATTAAAATTTCCGAGGGAAATGTGAGAAAATATTGTTATTGAATTAACTTCGCGGGAGCGGGAATTCTTATGAAACGTCACTTCACTCGGGATTTAGAGACAGCACCTGTACCATGTATTTGCAATCATATACGATTAAAATGTATTACTTATATTATTTTTGAGATTCAGCAATGTTTTTAAGAAGGGGGTGGGGAGATACAAGCAAATCATAGGCGTAGTCCTAGCGGCTACTGTCCCCACTACCACCTTTGAAGAGGGAGAGGGACAGGAGTATCTTTGTTCCCTCTCCTCCAATATTCGTAGTTGGATTACCAAATCTCTTTTTTTCTTTTTGCCTGTCAAATACTGATATTTTACTTGCTTGACACCCCCTCCCTTTAACTTTGTAACTAAGCTTATGCAGATTGTCTGCAATGAAGCAAAAGTGATATTGCATCATTCTAAGATTTGACATTTTATCTGATAGTCTGTCATGATTCAGTTTTTTTTTGGGGGGGGGGGTGGAGGTTCATGTCTATGTGGCGGATCTTTAGGTTTACCACTTGGTCACAGTTTCACCTTTGTAATATTTTATAATATTTTTATAATATTTCATAATATCTGATGTTTTAAGAGGTCGGTGTTTGCTCCGATCCAAATTTGTATTGTTTTAATAGACTTCTGAGCTTAATTTCTATTCGTTATCTTCATATTTCATTTCAAAAGAAGATTGATGATTTCTATTAATAAAAAAAATATAATCTTATTACTAGACTTGCATATATTTGATTCTTATTAATTAGAATTATGTTAATTGATATTTGTTTCATCGGGGACAATTTTACTGCTCATGCCTCCCCCAATCCCTTCTTGTTCAAAAGTTTTTGAACCTCTCTATAATCATGTAAATCATACACGGTTCCAATTTTGATGCACCAGATGCGCATTTCGACAAATTATGTCTCTTCAGTGATGCTCAAGCCGAAACGTTGAAAATCAAAAATATTTAAATAAAAAAGACTTGGAAGAACTAAAAAGATGCCAAAAACTGGAACCAAAGATATAGCAAATAATTGACACTTTACAAAAGATACAATGTACACGTGCCGTCACTAAATCCCGAGTGAAATGATGTTTCATAAGAATTTTCCCGCGAAGTTAGTTCTTCACACTTTTCCCCTAGAAAAAGTAGCATATTTATATCGATTTAACTACTATTCATAATTTTTTATTGTTCAATGTCGAGATTACTAAATCAATATCTTTAACTATCATGCTTGATCGATATTTTCAAATCAATACTTTATCAATATTTTTCTATGATTTAAAGCAATAAAATCAATCAAATGTAAAAACACCTAAATACAATGCAAAATAAACGTATAAATAACAAATTATAACACTTTATATATTGAAAAAACCTAAAAATAAATGTTCAAGTTATAACACAACAAGTGTAGGGACCTATACGCTTGAAACCACTTGATTAAACAATAGGGCATAAAAACATAAATTTGCTATAGAGAAATGTGCTTTTCTTGAAAAGCACGATTTAATCTTCTTTTTAAGGGGAAAAAATACAAAAATCGCCAAAGTTATGCTTTCAATATGAAAGTTAGCTTAAGAGTATATAGGTGTGATGCTCGTATATCGACATGACTAAGCTGAATGCTTAAGCCATGCTTAAGCCAACATGCTTAAGCCGTGAAGCTGATGAGGAATATTTCTTATAATAATAGAAATGAGGCATAATGATTCTTATATTGTCAAGATCTACTGAACGATTGGATCTTTATCAATACATGTACTTGTGAACAACTGCAATATCTATACCTGTGTTTTAAAATTTTATTTTAAGCATGTCTTGAAGGAGAGAAAACATGTCATACAACTTGTACACAATGTATTATCATTACAATGTATTCGGAAAAGTAAATCAATGAAAATGGTGAAGATAACGAACAGTGATCGATCTAAAAAAATCTATAAACAATACAAATCTGTGAAGAGGACATAAAACACGGAATCCTGGAAATTCCAGAGGGATCAGGTGCCTAGGAGTAGTTGGCATCCCTGTTCACCGGCCACACATAGGTGATCCCTATGTATTGATCAGGTAGACGGAACATTCCGTTGTCAGAATTCAGTAGGAAAACAAAGGCCTAATAATTGGTGTGAAACACGTCAGCAAAAATACTACCCAATGATTTTATTTGCTAGGATTAACCGAAGAGTACTTGTGTGTAGAATCAGAGTTATTTTTAATAAAGTAGTTTTGTTAAAGTTAATCACATGATACGAAGATTCCGACTTCCATTATACGTTTTGAAGTTACTGCCTTTTGAAAAAAAATTGCGATTTTAAATTTTCTAAATGTTCTTTGGAGTTTTTGATAATCCACATCTGATTTACACTTCGAGAATATGCTATAGCGCAGTACGTCCGAAGTTTGTTTCCCCTTTACAGCAGTTCATATTTTTGTAAGGAGTAAAGGTAGGGGCTTGGTAGAGCATTTGCTGGACCTGGCAATGTATCTCTATTTATAAGGATTTTTATGACGTTTAGGAATCCAGTATAGGTGTGTAGATCGAACACACCTTGGTTGACTGGAATGTTAAAAGTATGAAACACTGAAATGTGATTTTGAAGAATTTAATCTTTAGAAAGTGGACTGCGAATATAAGTTGGATTTCCCGACGTAGAATGAAAACCAAGTTCTAAAAAAATATGTTGGATTTCCCGACGTAGAATGAAAACCAAGTTCTAAAAACGTTATAATAATGAGCCTTACTAATAAAGGCCATATTATTACAAGCTGGAACCATAATATGTTGTTTATAAAGTCTTTCTAATTCTTTTATCACCTCCGAAATAGTGAAAACGAAAAAAAAAGACGGTTCACAAATTGCCTTTTTCTTATACGATTCTTTAAAATATTTCTAAAACACTAAATGTTTTTAGATCTTCCTTTTCATATTTAGCTCAATATCTTGCTTAACGAGGTTCGCTCCTTGGCTTTTGAGCAGATTTTTGTCTTAACCTAACATTTCAAAAATTCTGCATAAAGTTTTAGTTTTTACAATAAATTTTGAATTTTAGAATGCCAATTAAACTATTTTCAGTTAAAAGTCCATGATTAAATTCCATACAAAAAGCATTAAGGTTTTTTTTTTTTTAGAAGAAAATGGTCATTTTTTTCTCTTTTGAAGTATTTAAAGTATATCAAGTTTCGATTCCTATTTTTCCATGCAGCCTGCACACAGAGTTATTCTGTGCCGTTAACTGTTTTATGCTGGTCCTAAATTATATATTAAATAAACTATCATGAATTCTATCATCATATTTGATAAATATACCAAATATATTGTGAAAATCTAGAGAATATAGCCCTAATTTTAGCTTAAAATTAGCACTATTTTAATAATATCTAAAAATGAACATCACAGACCCCCCACTTTTAATTTTCTTTTCTGAATATATAAGAATCTTTTAACCATTCTTCTTAAAATCAGTAAAATGTCATTACTTTTAAATGATTTTATTGCTTGT